CTTGAACGGTTCACCTCCAGCCCTGACATTTATTATGGTTGGCATGATTGATGGGGATTATTGGATGCCCATGTCATGTCACTTCTTCAGCAGTTAGGCATCTACCGTGATACTCTGGGTTGAGAATATTGGCAAGAAAATGAGGCGGAATAAGTGCTTGATCCATCCACTTCTTTACTGCCTGCGATTTAACTTTGTTGGGTATTTTTTTCTGCAATATCTTGAAGTTCTTTCCAAATTTCAACAGCAGCAGCAATCTCTCTGCAGTTTATCTAAACTATGGAAATAGGTTTCAGTATATTCAGCATATTTTCTACATTTCTCTTTAGCCCAATGATCTTCACAAACTGTCATCAGAATAGGACAGTTCATAATAAAATAGCTCACAAGAATCAACCACTGAATTCCACTGTACATCTTAGGAGAGAACTGGTGTTGGACCTGCTCTCTTCAGTGCAGCTGAAGCAAACTGGTTGTTATGGAAGTATTTTGCAATTTCAACAACATTTTCCTTTATTCCTGGAGTTGTACTTATGTCTCTGCCTAAAAGAATCATCAAATGAGCACTACACCCATATGTTATAAGTTTCAGGTTCCCTTCATTCTCTTCTTCTAGATTTCTTCTCATCTTTGCTACATTTGCAGCATTGTCTGTGGCAAAGCTATGCATGTGAATTTTTGTTCAGTCTGTTATACTTTTACTACTGCTTCTTTTAAATATTCTACTGTATATGGGTATTCAATTGTTTCTGTAAGACAGACAACCCCATCGTCTGTTGTCAGACAAGCACATGCTACTAGATTGTGTACATTGCTCCACCCATCAAGACTCCGATTAATAAACTCTTCCGTCAATGCTTTTTGCACACTGTACAATTTCCTTTTCATAAACTGTATCCAGCACCCTTACAGCAATATCTACTCTGCCAGGTGGAGCATAGCCTGGTCATAATGATTGAACTTGTCAATGAGACGTTTGTTCCAAACAATATGAAAAGGAGAATTTGTTGCATAAATGAACCAAGCAATCTTTTAATCTATGGAGTTCTGCTGGAATTTGCTTAAACTCATGTCTATAGCAACATACCAAACAGCTTATTAAAATGTTAATATTCATAAATGCTTAATAAAACTTTACCGTTAAACAGAAATTTTCACCTATGACCTTTGATTATATTGAATAAAAAATAATTTCAGAAATCCAGCAATAACAATAAAAATATAGTTGATAAATACTTCCACAAACATACCAATTAAATTTTAATACAAACATTTTGAATTTCCTAAGTAATCCACCCAAAACACAAATTCATGACAATAACCTAAGTTATCATTTACTAGCAGAGTAAAACATCATATGCACTCAACAACAAGTTTACTAACCAATTGATCCAGGTTGTTCAGACATGTTCACATCACCATCCTCAAAGTCATTGACTTCTGAAGAACATTTTTTATAATGTTGTTTCATTTTAACAACCAGGCCTTGCATCTCTTTGTTGCACTGTTTACACTGGGCACATGTTCCTTTTTTTATCCAGGGGTACAGGAATGTCTTGAAAGTATTCCTGAACAGGGTATTCTTTAGCACCTGCAGCCAGGGCAATTTGCCCCCTTCCCTCAGCCTCCCCAGCTCCCAGGTGTTGAAATCAATGCTGGAGGCTGCACTCTGAAGAATGTTATCCCTTCTTCCCACAGTGTCCTGCTTTGACACCAGCATGCTCCTTTCTGGTTGCACACTCTGCTCCAGCTCCCTTGTTATATTACTCCCTCGTCCCACCCTCCACTATCCCCAGAAAAACAAAAGAACTAACAACAATCCAAGACTTCTGCTCATGTAACCCACATGCCTTTTGCACTGCAGTATTTGTTTAGAGACAGAGAGAGTAGCAGTTGAGAAATTAATGGATTTATTTTTGTTTGTAGCTCTGTGTACACATGCAAGGAAACAGAGCAAGGCCATTTACTTGAAGTTTCCAGAACCATCCAGAAGCAAGGGCTAGTAGTTACTGGGCCCTGGAAAGTAAGTTTGCATAGTGCGGGGTGTCCTCATAATTTGAGAAATGAGCCAATCAGAACTCAGGTAAGAAGAAGCTATAAAGTAGGAGTATGAGACCACCCAGATGGGCTCAGTGGATAGTCCTGATGAAATCCATGGTGGTGTCTCCTAAAGTCAGAGGCTGGGTCCCCACACCCGTGATGACTTTGCTAGGCTCTTGCACCCAGAAGCAAGCCCCTGGGTCTCCCACAAGATCAAGCCCTTAATACAGTACATGACCCATTGTGCCATACTTATAAAGCTTGACCTTAAAAGTTAGAATCAGGGGGAAAATATCTTTCTTTTTATAGAAAAGAAGCCTTTACCTCAGATTTTTTGATAGAGGCTCATGGAGTCAGCATATTTATTTTTTATTTAAATATTGCACAAGATTATAAATTTAGGCCTTATCATATTTTGTATTAGATTCACATTTCATTTTAAAGCAGATTTATTTTTAAAAAGAAAAACGTATTATAATTGAAATAACAAAATAAAAAAATCTGATTTAAATCAACAAAATCCAATTTAAATTTAAAAATCAATTTTTATCCACTCTGCAGGTACCAAGTTGATGCATGGAATACAAAAGCTTAGAGTGGACGGTTAGATTATTTTACCCTGTATAAAGAGCGTAAACTTTGCACAAGTGGCCCAAATTCTTCTACCTGTGGGATTACAGAGTGTAAAATGGGGCAAAATTTGACCCAGTGTATATTTTGTCAAGGTCATTACCATTGCATGCTTTGGCTTTGATTGCTGCAACCTTTCCTCCCTCTACTTCATGGATCATCTCCATGGTGCATTGCTCTAACCACATTAGCCCCATCTTTGCATCCTTCCATTGGCTCCCCTTTTGCCATGAACTCAAACAGAAGCTTCTTGTCTTCACTTTTAAGACACTTCATGATTTAGCCCCCTCCCCCCCGAATCAAATCTATCATCTTACCATGCCATCAACCCCTTCCTTCCCTCTGCCAAAGATGCTGGTCATTGCAACCCATTGGTACGTTTCTCCCACATCCATGCTTTCTTCCACACTGTTCCCCATTAAAATCCATATAGCTATTTAATCCTGCTGCAACTCCTTCCTTAAGACTTATCGCTGCTGTCATACATACCAAACTGCCATCTGACAGTGGCTGAAACTACTGCTTATTATACAAAAACATGCTTGTTTTACTGTTACCCAATTTCCCACCCTCCCATTTGTCTGTTTCATCCACCTCCCCATTCCATTTTGTCATATTTTCACAGTGAGAAATCTAGGGCAGATGCTTTTATTACTCACTTGTACAATGCTTAGCACAGTGGGATCATGATCCTACCTTGAGGCCTCTAGATGTTATACATTTGTGATACTAATGAGAGTAAATATAATAAGGTTTTCAGTTACCCAAAAAGTATGACATGAAGCAACCAATACTGCTTAATCCAAGATTGTTAACTTTTCTGCTGGACAGACTTGATTTGCCTACAAAGGAAAGGAAGGAAACACCCTCATTGTGAATTAATTTTTAAAGTAAAAAATATTTTCAGTTATTGAAAATGTTTGTTTTCTTCCAAAGTTATCAAAGCACTCCACAAACATGAAGGATTTAGAACAGTCAAATGGCGCAGGTAAATATTATTTATCCCCATTTTCTGGGGCCTGGAAAAACCACATAAGAAACAAGCTAGAAGACATCTGTGTCTCAGTCTTAATTATACAGGGATCTATGGCACAGCCAGGAGCAGAGAAAAAGATTACTTTTTCTAATTTAAAAAAAAATCCAAAATGATAGAGAGAAATTACGTGTTTGCTTTTGTGGCAAAATGGTGGCAGTCCAACAGACAGCCAATTATGATGTATTATTTCTATGACAATAGTGCACAGGAACCCCAATAAAGGAAAAGACAGCCCCCCGCATCATGCTAGGCACTGTGCAGACAAGCATCATAGACAAATCTCTGCTCTCAGGTTTGTGAGAGAGGGTGGACAAATCTGACAAACGGAAAATGGATGGGCTGGGACTACAGCACAAGAAGACAACAAGCAGCCATTTGCAGAAAAGCAGATGCCTCAGCTCACCAAGTGGGAAAAAAATCTACATTTTTTCCATTTCCCATTGCAGGCATCTATGCCCTAGCGTTGCTCCAGCATGTCAGACCCCAAATCCATCCCCGGGCGCTTTGTTAGGGTCACACGAGGGATGGATTTGGCGCCGCGTGTCTAATCAGCCGCCCACAGTTTGCACATTGTTGCCTTTCACTTATCTAGCACAAGCCCCCTCTCCCGCCCCTCTGCACCAATGTGGCCATGATTGGCCCAAGCGCAGCCCACCCCACAGCAGCTGCTGTGGCTGCCCGGGGTGGCCTCTGCTCTGTCTAGGGCTGTGTGTCCCTTCACCCTCTGCGGACCCGCTGGGTGTATCTGTATCAAGGGGGCGGGCACACAGGCTCCCTGCATCCAAAGGGCATCCTGTGGTGGAACAACACCACGTGCCCCGGCCAAGGGAGACCACCAAGCCGCCTATGTGCCAAGCGAGGAGGCCTTCGACGCCTGCCCTCGCGGCCCCTTTCCTCCCCACTAATCTAAGGCGAGGAAGGGACAGGGTCTCCAACTGCGCATGCGCTAGGGAGCGCTGCCGCCCCCTCACACTGCACAAAAAAGGGAGGAGGGAAAGCGGTTCAAGCGCATGCGCTCCAGCCGCCGGCGAAAGAAGGCAAGGAGGAGAGCGCCCGCAGTAAGGGGAAGTCAGTGCGCATGCGCGCATGCCTTCCCAAGTCAGGGGAAAGGGAGCACATTGCGCCTGCGCTGACGACGAGTGGGTGGGTGAGTGTGCGCTGCGCATGTGCGAGGGCCCATGTTCCTCCTCAAGTCACATCTCCCCCGCCCCCAACAGAAATCGTCACCTAGGCGGTCTTGGGTGGGCTCAGCGAGTCGCCTCACCCACCAGCCCGGGGACGGGATCCGCCCTACCTGACACCCGGATGCTCTGGCTCCGGCCGGGCAGGGCCTCCGCTCTGCTGGGCAGCCTGGAGGCCGAGTCTCCCATCCCGAACGGCGAGCCGAGGAGAGGACGGAGGAGGCGGCGTGGCACCGCGGTCATCGCCCCCGCGAGAGTCAGGAGCCCGCCCGCAGGCTGCCGGCGCGCGCTAGCCGTTGGTCGGGGGGGGGGGCAGGGGCGCGTGCGGCGGTAGGGCGAGAGACCCGCCTCCTGCCGAAGGCTGCGTGGCTTGCCCAAGAGGCGTCGCAGACCCCAGCTTCCATTAAAGCGCTGGGGGAGCGCTGAGAGTGTGCGGCTCCCGGGCTCTGCCCGCGGCTGGGGTGTGAGCATCACACACCCACACACACACCCCCAACCCTCCCCGGCTCTGCCCGTGGCTGGGGTGGGAGCACACACACCCTCTGCCCGCGGCTGGGGTGTGAGCACCCCCACACACACACACCCAACTCTCCCTGGCTCTGCCCACGGCTGGGGTGTGAGCATCCCACACACCCCTCCCCGGCTCTGCCTGCGGCTGGGGTGTGACATCCCACACACACCCAGCTCTCCCTGGCTGTGCCGGTGGCTGGGGTGTGAGCACCCCACATACACCCCCACGCACACACAACCCTTCCCGGCTCTGCCCGCGGCTGGGGTGTGAGCACCACACACACACATACCCCTCCCCAGCTCTTCCTGCGTCTGGGGTATGAACACCCCATACACACAGACACCTTCCGGGCTCTGCCTGCGGCTGGGCTGTGAGCACACACACACACACAGAGCCCTCCACGTCTCTGCCCACGGCTGGGGTGTGAGCACACACACACCCTTCCCGGGGCTCTGCCTGCACTGGGGCCAGTATGCCCATCACCCGACACACACACTCCCCTCCCTAAGCTCTGCCTGTCCTGGGGCGGGTATTCCCCCCACACACACACTTCTTCCTGGGCTCTGCCTGCCCTGGGGTGACTATACCCAACACCTCTCCCCATGCTCCCCTCCCCGGGCTCTGCCTGCCCTGGGTAAGATATACCCACCTAAGTTCCCTGTAACCTGCGCAGCTGCACAGCAGCCTATTTAGTGCTGCGCAAGCGTCCAGGGAACCTGCCCAGGGACCTGCCGCAGCCCCAAACCTGCTGCAGCCAGGGTGGCTCGGACGCAGGGGCAGTCTGGCCCGGCCCCAGGTGCGGCAGGGGAGGCCCTCCCTCAGCCCGGACCTGTTGGGGCCAGGGGAGGGACACCTATCCTGCAGCCCCAGAGCTACTGCCTCTCCCCATCAGCCCAGGTGCTGCTGTGGGGGGAGTCCTCTCTCCCTGCCGGAGCACCCTCCTGCACCTCAAAGCCCTCACCCCCTGCACCCAACCCCGTGCCCCAGCCCTGAGCCCTCATCCCTGGTCCCACCCCGGGACCCGTGCCCCCAGCTGGAGCTCTCACCCCCTGCACCCAACCCCCTGCCCCAGCCCTGACCCCTCATCCCTGGCCCCACTCCGGAACCCGCACCCCCAGCTGGAGCTCTCACCCCCTGCACCCAACCCTCTGCCCCAGCCCTGACCCCCTCCCACACTCCGAACCCCTCGACCCCACCACAACCACATGAATTTTGTTTTGTGCACCAATATGAAGGTGATGTATTACACATCACTGCCATATTGGTGCACAATACAAAATTCATTCCACACATGGGTGGGAAAAATTAGAGGGAACGCTGATCCCCACCACCCCACGCACACCCATTTATTCTCCCTGGGTTCTGCCTGCCCTAAGGGCCAGTAAACCTAACTCCCCCAACACACACACACTTTGCCTGCCCTAGGCAATGAGACCCAATTCCCCCCTCCATGTGCACACACCCCTCCCCAGGCCCTGCCTGCCCTGGGGTATGAGCACCCAAACCCCCACACCCCACCCTCAAACCCCTCCCCCCTCCCTGGGCTCTTCCTGCCCTGGGGCCAGAATACCTAACTTGCCACATACACACACTCTGCTCGCCCTGGGGTATGAGCACCAACGCCCCCCACAAACACACTCTGCTTGCCCTGAGGTGTGAAAACCCAACAACTCCCCCCCCCCACACACACACACCCCTCCCCAAGTTTTGCCCGCCCTGGGGTATGAGCACCCAACATACATGCACACATACTCCTCCATGAGCTCTGCGTGCCCTAGGCTGTGAGCACCCAGCCTTCCCCCCACCCCTTCCTCACACACACCCCTCCCTGGGCTCTGTTGCTCTTCCGTATGAGCAAACACACGCCTCCCTGGGCTCTTCCTGTCCTGGAGTGTGAGCACCCCACCCACCTCCTACACACCCATACTTCCCTGGGCTCTACCTACCCTGCAATTTGATGCCTAACCATGCCCCCACCCCCCCCCCCCCCCCCCTCTCAGCCTGCCTTGGGGTGAACGCACCCCTATCCCCCCCCCAACACACAGCTACCTCCCCCGGCTCTGTGCATCCCTATCCCACACACCGCACCCTGAGTTCTGCCTGCCCTGGAGTTTGCACACACTTACCACATTTACACTGGGCTGATGTGCATACCCCCACTTGGCTGTGTGTGCAATGGGGTATGCACACACAACTGCAGAAACAACCTGCTAGATACTCTCCATGCTGTATGTGCACTATGGTATAACTCCCGCTTTACTGCGCTGAGATATGGACATGCACCCGTTGGTGCTTACATCCAAACTCACTCAGTGCTTGTGCCATAACATTACATCTGCTCACAAAGTAGATGTACCAGTATGTACTAGGGGGTCAGAGCACTCACATTCATCAGTATGCATTGAATGTGTAGAGAAATCAGTAAGCCCTGATTACATGCAGGCTTATGTTACATGGGACTCACATTTGTTTTGTACACTAAAGATGGAACAACAGTGGCATACATTCTGTGTGCACTGAAGAAGACTTGTCTAGGCTTGAGCAGTGCTGTCTACTCTTGTTTTCTGAACAGTTGTATAGGACCCCTTGCATAGTGTCATTATATGTGATCAACAAATGTCCTGTTCAAGAGGGGGAATAAAAAATAATTTCATAAACCCCTATTTGGAAAGATGGTCCACAAACGATCTATAGGTCCACACAGAGGAATTCAGGGTTACATCACGAATATTGGAAGAGTTAAAAGGCCTTTTTAGAAAGATGATGAGAATGATTCAGGGCAAAACTTACATGGAGGGAGATTGAAAAGATTGGGATTGTTTACCTTAATAAAGAGCTGAATACGAGGGGACTTGATAAAAGTACATAAAATAATGACTGGTTTAGAGAAAATAGATCAAGAGCTTCTGTCTCATGAACAAGGGACAGGCAATAAAATAGAAAGCAAATTAAAAACTAATTCAAAGAAATACTTTTCCACTCACCATATAAATTGACTGGAACCCCTGGCCACATGATGTTGTTGAGGCCAAGAATTTAGTAAGATTCACAGAGGGATTGAATATTTATAGGGATATCAAGAATATCTAGAGTTAGAATAGTTGGTGCAACAGTAATCTGGACAGGATAAGAACCTCATGCTTCACAATTTAAGACAATTGCTAACTCTTAGAAGTTCAGATGAGACCTAATGTGCGGGGGCCTGATTATTCCACATCTGTGTAATGTTGGGTTCTTGCACCTTCCACTGAAACATTTGGTGCAGACTATTGTTGGAGATATGATACTGGACAAGATGGAACTTGGGTTTGATTCAATCTGGCAATTCCTGTGTGCCCAAGGAGAACAGTGTGCACTTGGACTCATTCACCATTTATCAATTGTAGGCAATTCTGCCTTTTCACATTTTGTATAATTTTATTAATAATAATCACTTAGGCTGACATGTATAGCATTCCATGGACATGGACACAGTATAAGAACCTAGAGAATTCCATAGGTCATAGTAATGAACCAATGTTCTCATTCAGTCTGGTACAGTAAATAAGCCCCTCATATTTTTTCAGTATAAATTATTAAGAATCTGAAGTGCTGAATAGCAAAGCAAGAATTTTATTTAAAACATACGTACACCTAATTAAATGTTTTCTCATCATTTGCTGTCTTTTCTGTGCTGACATTTCCTATCATTTGCCTTTTATTCAGTGAAGAAGCCCCTGAAGATTGGTCAGAATTTTCAAACACACTTGCCATCATGCTGATCAACATTGTCTCTTTGTTTCCTTGTGCTCAGCCATCGGACTGTATCCATCTGTTGTCTCTTGTCTTATACTTAGATTGTAAGCTCTTTGCAGCAGGGACTGTCTTTTTGTTTTATGTTTGTACAAGAGTGGGGACCTGGTCCATGACAGAGACTCATCAGCTGTATGGTAATAATAAATCCATATTGAGGCTCCTAACACAAAAATGGGCTGATTTTCAGAGATGCTGAGCAGCTTCTGCTCCCGTTGGCTCAAAAGAGACTGGATATTATTTTAATTAGATAAAAGTCCTAATTGTTGTTCAGCAAGCTATAGAATAGGTTCTTTCATCCATTCCACGGACTGAAATCTGATGGAGGGATCTAAAAATTGTAGTTCTAATTTTAAGTATAATTTCTGGGCATAGATAAGCAGTTTAACTGATAGCCATAATCATGTTCTCTTTTATTATTAATTATTAAGCTTTTTCTCCCTTTTTTCTTATGATGAGCCAAACAAATTCTATGTCCTAACTTATAAAACAAATACAAGTGTACTGTACCTCAGAAAAGACCAACATACTTATACAATGCTTGGATTCCTACATTTTTGTCACGGTATTCCAAGCGCACAGATTTTTATGGTACATATCAACAACAAGGAAATTAGTCAAGAGGAAAATGGGCCAAGGGGTAGAGATCCATCTCCTGCCTTTCATCCAGGCCACCTGCAGGGAACTTTAGTCGACCAGTTCTAGGAAACTCCCAAATTTACTTAAAATGTTCTGCTGTTTGCCATCTGTTGTATGTGATTCCTTCCTTCCCAGCCAGGTCTGCCAGGACTTTTTGTCAGGGAGTTGGATTTACTTTTCCAAGGTAGTAAAATTTCATGTCTTACAACCAGTAATGCTCAATGTAACCATCCCCTTTGGTATAACGATAGCCTCCATTTATTGGGTATATGACCCAGTATGCAGGTATCTGCTTTAAGGTTGAGTAAGTCTTTGGGATCATGCAGTGTAGTTGTAGCTGTGTCA